ACATTCACCCTGGTATTTTTCACACCATTTGCTTTTTTTATGTTTATCAAATTTGCAATCTTTATTATTGCTAATGGATTATGTTTAACTCACTTTCCATTTTAAAAGGGATTGGTGCTCACAAGTGTGCCTTGAAGCATAAAATACTGATGGAAACAGTCATGTACACATATATTCTGCAGGTCAGGGTAAGTTTACAAATACACACGCTAACTATGACTCCAAACGCTGTAATATGTCAGTCAGGACTTACTCAGTCAAGCAAATCTGCGGGTGTGATGACTTTACGCAAAGCCACGGAAAACTGAAACTGAAAAGCGGTGCCACCATGAATATCTGAAAACTCCCCGTGCCTCGCCCACCCAGCGCAGTCGTCAGCCCGGTCCGACGATGCCGCTGATGCTTTCGAGTCATTCACCAAGCAAAGGCAGTGACGTTGTCATAAACCAACGGGCTTTTTCTGGAACAAGTACAAAAAATTTCTTTCCGGGACAAAATTAATTAATTTCACTGGTAAACACAGTGAAGACAAAAACGCCCAGCCTATTATGCAAAAGTTTTACTTATTGAAGCAAAAGTAAATACACGTTACATTATTCTTAAGAATCTTGTAAACCAGGGGTGTCCAACTCATTTACATCAGGAGCCACATCAGCCTCGTGGTTGCCTTCAAAGGGCCGAATGTAATTTCAACTCCTTAACAGTCAAGGAGTAGTTACATTTATACAGTCCTAAAATTATTTCAGCCCTTTGAAGGCAACCATGGGGCTGATGTGACCCCCGATGAAAATGAGTTGGACACCCCTGCTGTAAACCTAGCCCTGACTGGTGTGACTCAGTGGGCTGGGCATTGTCCTGCAAACCAAAAGGTCACCAGTTTGATTCCTGGTCAGGGCATAGACCTGGGTTGTAGGCCAGGCCCCAAATAACAGATATGCGGCAACTGATCAGCGGCAACTGATCAGCGGCAACTGATCAATGTTTCTCTCTCTGTCTTTCTCCCTCCCTCCATTTCTAAAAATAAATAAATAAAATTAAAAAAAAATCTTGTAAAACTGGCTACAGAATTAACCATATGTTGTGAAAGAAACAAAATAAGTTATTGGCAACTAATTTTGTCAGAGCTCTCATTGTCTAAGTACTAACAACACACAATGTGACAAAGCATGCCCGGTTGCAAACGTACGCTGGTTCACAGCTGTTGATGTATGTGTTGTATATACGCAGTTGTGTGTGAAACACAGAGTTTATTCTTGCATTGTCATTTATTATTGTGCTATTTATTTGTAGTACAACTGTAAACACTTTCCCCAGCCCCTGCATGTGCATGAAGAAGAAAGCCTCAGCCACAGCAATACTTAATTCCTTTTGTCACTGAAAGCCCCGTGAAAAGCTGTTGTAGGCTGCCAGGCTGTAAATGGAAATCGATGCCCAGGTCTCCATACTGAAGGAACACCTGGAGAAGAGCAACAAAAAAGTTTATTGCTCTATAAATAAAGAAACTGTCTCTGAATGACTGTCTACACTTGATCTCACCCCCAGGAAGAGAGGAGGAGGTGAGGAAGCTGTTGGGAGAGAAAGAAAAAGTTGTAGGAATTATCAAACTTCCAGTGAGCGCCACCTGGTGGCACCAAAATACAGTCACGAGGGCCTGGGCTGTGGCAGGCACCTGTGAAATTACAGAGCGGATCCTTTCTGTTGTGATGATAATCACACGTTACTGACAGTATCCAGGCTCCTTGGTTGCCCCAAAACAGTGTAAATGGATTGTTCTTGGCTTCCTTCCTTTTTTCCTTCTGTTTTTCTTCCCCTTAGGTAAAGTTTGTGTTGATGGTCTAATATACACACAAAAATATGCACAAGTTATCAAGGCACAGCCCTATGAATTTCTATAAATCACACACAACTGGCATTCAGGCCAAGTAAACAGAACGTTACTAGGACGGTGGGCTTCTCGTGCTCCAAGCGAGCACGAGCCCCTCCCAAGGAAAAAACTAGCCTGCCTCAAACTTGGAGATAAGGTTTGCTCATATTTGAATGTTACATACATCGAAACATGCAGTGCAGACTCTTGCTGAGCATCATTTTATTGCACAAATAAATCACAACTTATTCTTTATGCCATTGATGGGCATCGTGGTGGTTTGTGACCCTCCTTCTCGTAGGACCCTGAGGTTGCTTTCAGTCTGTTGCTGCTAAAAAAAACAATGCTGCAATGAAGCACTCCATTCGTATTCCATTTTCATATATGCAAATATATAGTTTAAATGTAACAGTACAGAATATTCAGAGGTGGAAATTCCAGGTTCAGAGAGTATGGACATTTGTCATTTTTTCCTTAAAAGTGACTTCATCTTTCAGCCCTGCTGCCAAAGGATTCTTTCTTTACCTCTGAAGTCCATTAATCTCTTGGTTGCCTGAAGTTCATGTACTGAGAGTCTTCCCTAGAAGGACTCATGGGAACTCTATTCACCAGGTTCTTAAAAGATCAATTTTTTTTCTTTAGCTTTTATTCTTTCATGAATAGCTTAAATAAATAGAAAAATCATTGGCTCACACTTTTTCTCTTTGTCTGTTACTATAAATGAAACTGATTATTTTTCCCCCTGAAACCCAATTAATTTACTAGAATATGTCTTGGTGCTAACCATTCTTGATCAATTTTTCCTTAGCAAATAATGTGATCTTTCAATATACATATTAAAATCTTTAATTATAGGAAAATTTTCTCGAATTTTAATTTTAAATCTTTTCCTTTTCCATGATTTTGGGGGTTTTCGTCTTTGGGATATCCAACTAAATGTGCTTTATCTCCTTAGCCCATCTTCTACATCTATCATTTTTTTCTAAATCATTTGAAATATTTTTATTGAGAAATAATTTACATACTATAAAATGTACCCATTCAAAGTGTAGAGTTAAACAGTTTTAAGCGTATTCACAGAGCGGTGTGACCATCACCACAGTCAGCTGCAGGACATGTGTATCCCTCCCCCAAACCCCCAGACCATTAGCGTTCCTTCCCCATTCCTGCACTCATGTCCCCAGATGCAGGCAAACACGGATCTACTTTCTGTCTCTATAGATTTCCCAGTCTTATGTATTTCACATGTAGGGAATCATACAACATGTGACCTTTTGTGGATGGCTTCTTTTACTTAGCACAAATTTTCAAGATTTATCATGTTGCAGCATACTTCACTACCTCTGATCACTGAATAGTATTCTGTCACATGGATATACCACATTTACTTTATCCATTCATCAGGTTATGGGCATTAGGATTGTTTCCACTTTTTGACTATTACGAACAGTGCTGTTGTGAACATTCAAGTTTTTGAATTGACATATGATTTGTCTCAGCTGTATATCTGGGGGTGAATCTCCTGGGTTATCAGGTAGCTCTGTGTTTAACATTCTGAGGAACTGCCAAATTGTTTTTCAAAGTGATTGCACCATACTTTATTCCTGCCAGCAATTTATGACACTCACAAAACATCACTTCCATCTCGTGCTGTCGGTCAAAGTTAAGTGTAACACCAGCCCGGAGTCAAATGTGGGAGCAGACTCAGCTGCCACTTACTGATGAATATAAATTCTATGGTCATTTTTAATCCTTCAAAAAGGGATTTAAAAAAGGTCTACCTCTAAAATACCTACAATCACGTGTGGCCCAAAGCAAATAACTTCAAAGTGTTCATTGTTGTTGTTATTAGCCTTTTTCTTCTGGTTAAAAAAAACAACAATGCTTTTCCCGAATAAGGAGGTAGGTGAGATTTTCTTTAGATGATCTGAAAATCAAAATATGTAAGACAAAAAAAAAGTCTGTGTAGGATTCTTTGAACTAACATTAAATACCTGAATATACATGTCAAGTCAGAATCTGAGGTGTTTCAGAGAAAATATTTCATTGGAACATGATTAAGTTGGCAAACCTAGAGGAGAGAGAAAACAGTAGAAAAACTTTAATGGTATAAAATTTAAAAAGTGTCCCACTTAGAAAGTTCAGAAGACTTAAAAAGTGTTACCTGTTGCGGACACCGGCTGGCAGTGTCCATAACATCCAGTGTTATGGATGAGATATGAAATACATTCACACGGACTACCGAGTCCTGTGGAGGAAAAGGGACAGCACGGCTACTCTCTCAAGGGGAGGGTGCCTGGGAGCAGCCTGGCCACTCTCTCAAGAGGAGAGCACACCAATCCTTGCCTTCACTGGTTTTTTATTGGCTTTTAATTTGCACAGGAATACAGGTAAATTTCATTAATCATTGTCAGGCAGTAAGGATCAAACAATAGATAATACACAAAGAACTCTGAGGGCCTATTCTGAGTCAGGGTCTATCAGCTAAAAGGCTACAAAACTTAAACAAACTCATTTCCTGCTCGGACCTTTATCATTTAATTAACAGTATTCTTAGCAAAGCAGGTTTCACAGGAGTTTATGTATTCTTTCTCAGGCTTGATTACCCAGGGAACCTGCCCTTTCCAGCACAGGGCTGCACCACCCTCTGTCACTGTTTCAGGCTTAAGTCAGGCAGAGGAGTCAAGATAGCCAAGAAATTAGGAGACTCCTCACAGGCAGAATGAGGACTCAGGCTTTGTCAAAGCTGAGGGGCGAGGGTCCATCACCCCCTTTCTCCATAGCCCCCCAAGTCCTTCCCTGGGGCCTCCATCTGATCGTGCCTGTCTTAAGTTTTTCCCCCCTTGGGGAATCTTACCCATCGTTGGCTAACTGATCAAGCGTTGGGGACCAGTTATGGAAAAAGGAGCAGAAGTGGTGCTCCTGCCAGGGAGATAAGCTTTGTCTCCTCAGCGGTTTCTCATCTGAAGGTCACTCACTCAGCCTTAGCCATGGGGGCGGGGGTTATAGCTCCTGAAACCAGGCAGGGTGGTTCCCAACAGTTACCCCCACTTTGTACTCTATCTGATTTTTGACCTTTCATTTCATCTTCCCTTCTATTGATTTTTTAGGAATTAGAGAATAAAATCTTAGCACAATGTCCCTCAACAGAGACACTGATCCAATAGAAGACGGTGTGGAGATGGAGTTTCCCAGGTGTTCGGTACGTATTTATTCTCTAAGATTGTACACGGAAACTGTACTTTCAAGTTCTGTAAAAATTCTAACTGCGGAGTACCCAGTGGTGTGCCTGGGGGAGCCACGGGGAGCACAAACATTCCACTCCAGGGACTTACCTTTTGGGGCCCAGCAAAAGGCAGCTCTTCAGTGGGCAGCAGAGCAGGAGCACAACTTGTTTTCATAACGGTGGGAACACGGGGGAAAGAGCCCTCCGCCAGTCCCAGCCCACGTCCTCTGTGTGGCTCTGGCGACAGAGCCCACTAGAATCGAAGGGAAACTGCAGGGACCCGAGTTTGGGCCCTCACTTCGTCCTTCCAGTCAAATGACCTAAGAAGCTTCTTGGGAATTAGGGGATTAGTAGGCAGAATGCTCTAGAAAATAAAGTTTTATCCCTTTAATACAGGAGTTTAGATACAGAAGGGGGACTCCAAGGGGACAGGGTTGTCTTTTCTGCTGACAGCTATTCCCGAACACTCCACAAGTGTAACCGTTTGCGTTGCTAAAACATTCCAGTTCATAGGGACAATCACAGCCCCCTTTGCACTGTGTTCCTAGACATCCCAAGCCCATTGGACACCGGGATGAAGCTTTGGTATCTACATCATCTGGCTCCCTTTCTTCCTTAAACAAAATGTAGCCTTACCCACAACAAATGTTGCAACCCCCCAAAGCTCTCTCTCTGCATGCTAACTCACAGAATTGTAGAGTTAGGAAGATCTTAAAGACTTTAGAATTCAAGTCTAATGGGTTCATTTTATAAGGCAGGCTTTAAATGACGTGTCTAAATAATACCTCTTTTGGGGAATGACCTGAGACTTGACCATCCAGTCTCTGCTCCACATTGCCACAATGGACTTGGTTTAGTTGGGTAACAGTGTCTCCCAAGGGTAGCTGCTGCTGTTTGCACGGTTAGTTATGCTCTTTGTTGTAGGGTTCGTGGATCTGCTGGATGATTACCATTCACCAATCTCATGACTTCCCACTTTTTTCCACACAGCTGCCAGAATTATATGCCCTTGTTGAGAATATGAACAAGGAGAGCAAGAAATCCAATCGTCTAAAAACTCACAGTATTTCACCAAATGAAGCACAGGAAATACTTAGTCAAAACCTGAATACCATGTCATTCACCAGCAGAACTGATTTGAGAGAAGATGCCCAACCTGTTTTCCTGTGCAATGTGGCTAGACCAGACGAGGAGAGCCCAGTGTCCATGACTGACCTCCTACACAGCAGCTTACTGACCAGCTCGCTCTCTTCAGAAGACAGACTCTCAAAATCCCGGCAGAGATTGGCTCAGTATGGGATCCCTCCTCCCTCACACACTTTCCCTTATGAGATTCTCACCAATAGGTTGAACTCTTTGGTCACCACAAAGAAGGAGAGTCAAAGGACCACAAAATTACCCATGCTTAGCATTTTCCGCACCAGTCCAGAAAAGTTTGCCTTTGAAGATACAACTCATGAATACTTATTAGCTGAACCAGGTAATCAAACAGTAAGGCTGTGTGGGAGAAAGAGTGGGAACCTTTCCAGAAAATTTACCTACATTTCTAGAGCTGAAAGAGTCAAATGTTGATCCACGAGAACTCTGCAGCGCTAATGCCCTTGCTACATCTAATGGCGACGGGAAACAGAGAACAGAGACTCGAACCTTCCAGGGTCAAGCCTCAGACCCATTCCCCAACGAGCATATCATTTAGACATAGCACTTAAGCTTGCTTTTATTTTTTTTTTTGAGATTTTATTTTTATTTTTAGAGAGAGGGGAAGGGAGGGAGAAACTTTAATGTGTTGCCTCTTGCACGTCCCCAGCTGGGGACCTGGCCCACAACCCAGGCATGTGCCCTGACTGGGAATCGAACTGGAGACCCTTTGGTCTGCAGGCTGGCACTCAATCCACTGGGCCACACTAGCCAGGGCTAAAGTTGCTTTTATGAAATGAGCTGGTTAAAGTTGGCCTCTAAAGCACCCATTCAATTAGTCAAATATTTACTGAGTAATAATTTGTATTAGAGTTTTTTCAAGAACCTGTACTCTTTATGATACATCTCTACAGAGAGGAGGAAACTCTCCATTTCTCATTCTTTAATGGAAAATTACCAATAAAAGGCCAAAGGCCATACAGAGAAAGTAAAAATATATAAAACATGATTGCAAGTTTTGATAAGACAGGCTATCCCTAAGGCCTCCATTTTTCCCATGTAGTTTGAGGGAAGTACTATTTTGTTATTGTGTATAGCTGTAAAAATTAGATTAACCCAGCCCTGGCCAGGTAGCTCAGTTGGGTAGAGTGTCATCCTGATATGCCAAAGTTGTGGGCTCAGTCCTCCGTCAAGGTACATACAAGCCTCAAACAATGAATGTATAGAAGCGTGGAACAACAAATCGATATTTCTCTTTCCCTTCCTCCCTCTCTCTAAAGTCGATTAAAAATAGATTAAACCAATAATATATAATAGTTGAGTCTTTCTAAAGCGGGTTCTTGACCCCAGATAAAGCCATTTGCACAGCAAATATTTTGATGCCACAACTTTTACATTAAAAGTAGTGGGAGAGATAGGAACAAATTTATAGAATGGATTGATTACTCTGATCATACAGGGTGGGCAAAAGTAGGTTTACAGTTGTTCATATGGAAAATAATATAATAATCAATAAATAATAATATAAGAATCAACTCTATGTTTTGCATACTCACAACTGTAAGCCTACTTTTGCCCCACCGTGTATGTGCTCTAACTCTCTACACTGATGTCTACACAGAGCCTAGTGCTGTGCTCAGTGGGGGACTATGCAGTATATCTTGGCTGTGGTTCATCGACTTCTTTTTTAAATATATTTTATTGATTATGCCATTACAGTTGTCCCAATTTTTCCTCTTCCCCCCCTCCACTCAGTACCCCCCATTCCCTCCGGCAACCGCCCCACCCCACCCCCTGCCTTAGTTCTTGTCCATGGGTCATGCATATAAGTTCTTTGGCTTCTCCATTTCCTGTACTGTTCTTAACATCTCCCTGTCTATTTTGCACCTACTAATTTGTGCTTCTTAATCCCTGTACCTTTTTCCCCATTTCCCTCCCTTCCCCTCCCCATGGTTATCATCCAAGTGATCTCCATTTCTGTGGTTCCATTCTTGGTCTGTTTGTTCACTTAGTTTGATTTTTAGATTCAGTTGTTTATAATTCTGAATTTGTTGCCATTTTAATGATCATCTTCTTCTTTAAAACAGGTCCACTAAACATTTCACATAAGAGCTTGGTGATGATGAACTCCTTTCACTTTACCTTGTCTGGGAAGCACTTTATCTTCCCTTCAATTCTAAATGATAGCTTTGCTGGATAGAGTAATCTAGGTTGTAGGTCCTTGCTTTTCATCACTGTGAATGCTTCTTTCTAGACCCTTCTATCCTACAGAGTTTCTTTTGAGAAATCAGCTGACAGTGTTATGGGAACTCCTTTGTAGGTAACTCTGCCTTTCTCTTGCTGCTTTTAAGAGTCTCTCTTTATCTTTAACCCTTGGCATTTAAATTATGATGTGTCTTGGCATGGACCTCTTTGGGTCCAACTTGTTTGGGACTCTCTGTGCTTCCTGGACTTGTGAGTCTATTTCATTGGCCAAAATAGGGAATTTTTCTTTCATTGTTTTTTAAAATAAATTTTCAATTCCTTGTTCTTCCTCTTCTTCTGGCATCCCTATGATGCAGACCTTGGTATGTTTGGAGATGTCCCAGAGTCTACTTTGCCTATTCTTGTTTTTTAAAAAAATTCTTTTTCCTCTTGCTGTCCTGATTGAATGCTTTTTTCTTCCCTATGTTTCAAATCATTGACTTGATTCTTGGCTTCATCCCTTCTACTCTTGGTTCCCTGTAGATTTTTCTTTATTTCATTTAATGTAAACTTCATTTGTGCCTGGATCATTTTGTATGCCATTGAAGTACCCAGTGAGTTTTTTGAGCATCCTGCTAATCAGAGTTTTGAACTCTGCATCTGATAGGTTGGTTATCTCAGTTCCGTTTAATTCTTTTTGTGGAGTTTTTTTCTATTCTTTCATTTGGGCCATATTTCTTCCCTCAATTTGACAGCCTCCCTGTGTTTGTTTCTGTGTATTACACAGAGACAATTTGACTCCCTGTCTTAGTAGTGTGGTCTATTGTAAAAGAGCGTAACTGTAAATTGTGTGAGGCAGAGCCTGCCCTGCCCTGGTGAGTGATCGCCAGGGCAGGGCAATCACTTAAGGGCAATCAATTTTGTGGCTCCGTGTGGGGAAAGGTTCAGAGGAGGGACAATGCCATTGCTTGGCTTCTGAAGGTTTGCCTGGGAGAAAGCTGTCTCCTGGCACTCACCCTGATTCCAATCACTTTGCTTTATACCTATATGCCACTTGTGGCCTTCCAGCTGTTGCCCTGGTGCTGAATCCCAGAGGGGGTGGGTCTGTGTGAGTCCTAAGTCCATGTGGGTGCTTAAGAAGAGTCTCCTGAAAATCTGGCAGTTTCTTCCATCACCTTCTGTCACCCAGACCCCCACTGGTTTTCACAGCTGGAAGTTATGGGGATTTATCTTCCTGGTGCTGGAACCCTGGGGTGCTGGGTGGTCTGGCTTGGGGCTGGGATCACTCGCTCCCAAGGTATCCCTCTTGGGTTTTATTCAGCAGGTGAATGTGGGACCACCCATTCCTCTACCTCTCTGAGCCACTCCATGGCTCTGCCCCTCCTACCCATCTGGATGAGTGTGGCTTCTTTAAATCCTTGGTTGTCGGACTTCTATACAGCTTGATTTTCTGATGATTCTGGATGCTCCTTGTTTTATAGTCCAATTGTAATTTTTCTGTCATTGTATGAGGAGGCGAAGCATATTTACCTGTGCCTCCATGGTGACCAGAAGCCACTGTCCTTTTATACTCAGGGCCTACACAAGGATCTCAGAAGCAATGGCACTGGCAGTATATGTACTTCTGACAAATCTTCCTCCCTGTTTTGACCACACATTAGGACCCTTTTCTCCTCCCTGTTGCCCTCAGTGCTCTGCAGTTCTCTCCACTGCACACTCTTAGTTTCCGAGCACCAATGAGACGTTCTCTCTACCTGCTATGGCTGTGCAGGGGCCTCTCCAGCCCAGTTAGCCAGGCCCACCAACATTCTATTTGGAGGAGGGCTTTAAATGAGGTGGACACCATAGCTTCCCCCTTGGTTTATAAAAATTCAGAAAAGCCTTTCTACCAGAAAAGAGGAGACTCAAATTCATCAAAGGTCTATTCTGTCATGACAAACCTCTGAATTGCTGAAGGTTAAATGACACCACCATGTGATTCTTTGAAAATGTGATTCTTTTCAGAAAAACAATTCATGGATCTAAGGGATCTGGAATGGAAATATTTTAAGGGGATCACAACGTGGAAACAAAAAGCTTCAGACTCATATACAAAGATACTGTACAACAGTGAGAAGAGATTTGTAGAGAGCAGGGAAATGCATGATGATATTTCCCCCCCGCTCATTTATGGGTCTTTGGTTGTTTGTTCTGAAGTTGATTATCCAAAAAGTGTAACTTCTTCTTCTTAATGGAATATGTAGTTTATTAAAATATTTTGGATGTAGACTTTACTTTGGAGAACATCAAATTCATACACAAAAAGTAAAGAAGCAGAGGCAGCATGGAACATAGGAACTGAATCTGTATGATACACATGTAAGACCTAAAATTAAACCACTAATATGGAGTAAAAGATCCAAGCTGATCTGCTAGGGTGTCTGTGAAGGGGAACACACAAACAAGAATAGCTCTCTCAAACTTTTAAGCTCATGAAAAAGTCATAAAAGTAGTTGGTTAATTGAACAAATGGAAGAATTAACACCTGAGGATACAGAGATCAATCTGAGAACTTAAAAATATGTTAACAGCTGGAAGACATGAGGAAGGAGGTAGCATCTATGAAATAAGAATGGGATGATTTGAAAAAGAACAAACTGGGAATCTTAGAAATGAAAAATGTGGTCATTGATCATAAAGTAATAATAATAACCCTCAACAAGTTATCTCAAAGGCGTACGGGATGAATCTGAGGAGAGAGAATGAATGAGTTGGAGCACAGCACTGAAAAAGAAGCTTCCAGATCACAGCACAGTAAGATAAAGAAGGAAATTATGAAAGACATTCATTCTACCCTCCATCATCCTTAACTTTACATCCCTTAACTATCTTCTTTACTTTACCCTCAACTATATATCTGATGGGAGTTGCAGAAGAATATAAGGAGAATGGAGAAAAGGTGATGTTTGAAAATAAAATGACACATGGTTTTCCGGAATTGAAGAAACACGTGAAAACTTGAATTGAAAAATCTCACTGAGTGTGATTAGCAAGAAAATAAATCTATACCTAGAAACACTGTAGCAAAACCACAGAACATCAAGCAAAAACAAGAAAATAGGATCTACAAAAGAGAGAAAATAGATGACATAGAAACAAATGACAGAATGGTGGTGCTACTCTCCGTAACAACAGATGCCAGGCGATGGCGTCATAACTCAAAACCCTGACGGAAAACAACTGTCAGTCTGGAATTCACCCGACGGCCAAACTCTCTTTAAAGAGTAAGGGTGAAGTAAATACATTTTAAAACATAGAAGAGTCTAAATTGTTCACTGCCCCCACTGAAAAAAACTGCTAGCAAATATGTACTTTAGTGGGAGCCCAGAGGGAATACAAGCAACAGGGGTGAGCAGTTAAATTCTTAATGATATGTGTGTATGATTGTGTCAGTATTAAAATATACATCGAGATTTTATTTCCTAATATTTCATTTTTTAAATTTGTCTCTCTGTAAGTGAAATTAGTCTGTAGTTTTCATTGTTTGCACTGTTTTTTTAAAGATTTTATTTATTTATTTTTAGAGAGGGAAGGGAGGGAGAAAGAGAGAGAAACATCAATGTGTAGTTGCTGGGGGCCATGGCCTGCAACCCAGGCATGTGCCCTGACTGGGAATCGAACCTGCGACTCTTTGGTTCTCAGCCCACGCTCAATCCACTGAGCTATGCCAGCCAGGGCAATTGTTTGCACTATTTTTTAAATCAGATTTTGGCTTCGGCATAGCAGATATTTTCAGCCAGAGAGGCCATCTAGAAATGGGCTGGAGGAAGATTTCTGGGGTTTTCATAACATACTGGTTTTTTTAAAATCAGCATATTCAAGTGTGTTCAGTATGCAAAAATTTCTCAAGCTACAGATTTCACAACTGTAAACTTTTCTTTATTCATGTTATACTTCAAAGAAAGTTTTATAAGTCATGCTACCTTCATAAAATGAATTGGGGAGTTTTTATCTTTTTTTGAGGCCATGGCTATTTAAATAATATTAGAAATATTTTAAGTCCAGATCTTTAAAATCTAGATAGAACTTAGCTATAAAATCATTTAGTACTGACATCTTTTCTTCTTATTTTATTATGAAAATATTTACACTAGATTCACCACTTAAGATTTTACCAAACTCTTTTCATCTATTCATGTTATTGTTTGCTGAGCTTCAGGTCTAAGATACTATCCTTATATGTTATTGGTGAAAATGAAGAATGTGTCTTTTATTTCATGGAGAAAAACTAAACAATATTGGCCAACCAGGTAATAAGGTTCAGGTAGGAAAAACAGAGCAAATAGTAATATGTCAGATATTGATACATCAATGATAATTTAAATGTGAATGGAATAATACTTCAATTAGAAGCCAAAGATTATCAGAGTGCATTAAGAATTCCAATGACACACTGCTTACAAAAGACATAAGCTAAATAAATATAAAATGCAAAAAGGCTGAATGTACAAAGATGGAAAAAGATGTATCTCCCAGACACTAACTAAAAGAAAATTGGTTTAGCTATACTAATATCAGACAAAACCAATTTTAAGAAGCATCAGTAGAGATGGAGGATCACTTATATTAATCATAGAAGTTTTGTTCACCCAGAAGACATGACTGTACACTCCCAAGTCCCGGGGTGAACGCCCGCAGCATGGTCTTCCCTGAGAAGACAGAGCCAGGGAAAGCGCCCATCGCGGCCTGGGAGTTTTCCTGTTTATTCTGGAAGGGACGATCTTCCCATCAGAATTCTGGATGCACACTACTAATCGGAACCACTATTAGCTACAGGGGATTTGGGGAAATTAAGGGTTTTTAAATTGGATGCAACGCAACCTCAAACAAAATTGTAGTACTGTTTGTTAGAAAGGGAAGAAGACATGGGGATGGGTGGTTACAGGGCAGGCACCTCCGCGTCAGCAACGAGGGGTGCAAGTCCACAGTCCTCATTTTCTGATCCTTCCACGTCCTGCGACCTCACCGCAAGCCCAGTGCTCCTTCGCCACTGCCCTCCAGCCGCACTGCCGTCTTCTGTCCTTTCAACTCACTAAGCTTCTTCCTTCCTTTGGATCATGGCACTGAGCCCTCACTTTCACGGAATGTGTTCCCCTGAACCTCATGCGGTTGCTATCACCTCAGCCATCGCATCCCAGGTTCCAACGCTGCACCTCAGCGAGGACAGCTTGGCCAGCTGGTCTAAAGAGGCTGGGCCGTCGCTCTGTAACACACTTCTTAATTCTCTGCTCAGTATGTATGTGATCGAACATACAAATTGTACACGCAACCCTATGCTGATCAAAATTTTACCTGATTTTTCTCCTTGTTCACTGAAGTTTATTGGTCTGCCTTTTTTGGAGTTAAGTATCGTACCCTCTTTATTCTTTTTTTCTTTTCCAATTATCGTTTATACTCAACATTATTTTGTATTAGTTTCAGTATACAGCACAGTGGTTAATCAATCATATACATTACAAAGTGCCCCCCCCCCCAGTATTTCCAGCACCCACGTGGCCCCACACATAGTTATTACAACGTTACTGACCATATTCCCTGTGTTAGAATTTGCATCCCTGTGACTGTGCTGCAGCTACCAGTTTGAGTTTATTAACCCCTCCCCCTTTTTCACTCAGCCCTCGGACCCCCAACTCGCCTGTCTTTCCCAATAGGAATCTTGTCATTCTGTTTGTCATCCTATCTCCAGTGGCTAGAGTACATATTTTTTTAAAAAAATTTTTGTTGTTGTTGTTTTGTATTTTTTAATTACAGTTGATGCAGTATTATTTCGTATTAGTTTCAGGTTAGGCAATCATATACTTTACCAAGTGTTCCCCCGATATTTCCAGTACCCACCTGGCACCGTATGTAGTTATCACTACATTATTGACTATATTCCCTATGCTGTATTTTACAACTCGTGACTTTTGGCAACCACCAATTAAGACTTCTTCATCCCCTCACCTTTATCACCCAGGTCCCTAACCCCTCTTCTTTCTGGCAACCACCATCCACTCTGTGTCTATGAGAGTCTGTTTCAATTTTGTTTGTTTATTTTGTAAAGCACTTCTTGACACAATAAACACTCGATGATTATTTGTGGAATGAATAAATGAACAAATAAAATACTTCTAAGCATCTATTGAATGGTTGAGAGCATCCCTATGGAACTGCACCTTTTCCTTTCACTACACAACACATTTTCTCTGCTCACAATCATTTTCCCAGAAATTTGCCAGAGAAAATTAAATTTCTGCAGCTACTGCAGTGCCCCCAGAGAATTCCAAATGTGGTTACTCACCCTGTCATTGCAGATACAATGACTCGTGTTGAATTATTTTGGAAAGTAAAAAATGTTAAGTCAATCCCTGAATACTCTATGTGCTTCACTATTGAAAATGGATCCTGCGAACTCAGTTCTATTCAGGGTAGTAACAGATGAGTTTTCTTTGTTCTAGACATTGAGATACAACTATACCTCTTCAAGTTGCTTGGTCATTGCCATCACTTGAACTTTTCCTACTTACGATAAATTGCCTCCCAATTTAATACATCATGATACTGAGAACCTGTTGTGCCAATTATGCTTCTAATTTTCCTCTAATGTGTATCTGTTTCTAGAATGGTAATAAAATCAATCTAAATCATATTTAAAAATAAGATTAGAGGCTGCAGGTACACATAGAGTTTCATTAAAAGAGTATGTCATATAATCAGGATTATGAGATAATCAAAATGTAATAATCTGCAAAATTATCGCAGGAAAATTAATGCTTGAATGATACAATCATATGATGATAATTGGCATAATACTTTTGAATTTGCGTGGCTTCCTATAAAAAATTATTATTAAGGAAAAAGGGTCTCTTTTTCAGGTCCTGAACCAAAATGAATGGCCTAATTACTATCAAGTCTGAAAACAGAACTAGACATTGTGATCTTGAGAAAGGGAGTTATTTATCATGTCAGCAGAGGCAGAGGGTGATAATAAATCAGACCTTTTGGTGACACTAATTAAAGCATTTGGAATAC